AATAGTTACAGAATGGATGAACCTTATTTGCACTGAGCCTTATGGGGAAATCTGACTTCGCTCATGACCAATTTGGGTCACGACCAGAGTCCTGGAACAGATTAAGTTTGTGAGCCAAACTGTACATTCCTGAGGAATTTAAAGGACACATGATGAACAGATTTGTATTACTGAACTCAACTGACCATGAGCCAAAAGGACAGAATGAAAGCAGAGACATTATTAGGGAAGAATCAAAAAGGCAGTTTCTGTAGCAAAAAGAAAGAAAAGGCTTAGATGTGTGACAGAAAAAGTTCTCAAAATTGCTCAGGAGAGGCAAGAAGCAAAAGCAAAAATTCACAGAAACAGGATCAGAATCCTGAATGCAACTTTTCAGCAACTATCATATAGAGATAAGACGAACTATTACAATGACCAGTGCAAAGAAATAGAAAAGAACAATGAGGAAAAACAAAATTCTGGATTCTGCTATATCCTTCAAGAATCTTGAAAAAGAAATACTGTCCCATCGATGGGAAGTCCTATGGATGAAGGATATAATACTCACTGCCAGTCATGCATTAAGAGAAATTTGATATAAGATGTACTTTCAGTGGTATATTACCCCAAAAGATATACAGAAAATGGGCAAGAATTAAAATGATAAATGTCAGAAATATAAAGAGGTGGATGTGGTGGACATATGATAGAATCAAGATTTTGGGAGCAGATACATGCAGGAATGCAGAAAATGCTTAAAAGTGACTTGCCTATGAACACTAAGATTACGTTACTGAGTATCATACCAGATACTCTCAAATATTACTTTAGAGTTATTTAAATGTATAATAACATTTAACATTAACAATAGCAAGAGTAACAATTGCTTCAAAGTGGAAAGCTGAAGACTGTCCAGCTGTGGAAGACTGGAAAAACAAGCTAGCTGAGTATGTAACAGTGGTGAAACTAACCAATTATATTAATAGAAGACCAGCTAAAGAATTCACTGAAAGATGGAAAACTTATTATGAGCAATTTAACTAATGCTAAAGAAAGTAGAATTCTTACAAATGTCAGTGATTTTTTCTTCAGTACTAAAATTATGCTATAGTTCATAATTAGTTTCATAAACAAGATTAATCTTTGATTAAGAATTAAATGTGACCATGGCAGACAGAAACTTTTGCCTTTTTATGAATACATTCAGGTACTGAAATTACATGCTATATTTGTAGAATATCCCTTGGCATCTTCTCCCCACCCCCATATTTTCCCTTCTTCATTTCTAATGTACTTTGTGAATATTTATTTATTTAAGAAGAAAAACAAGGGGGCCCCTCCAGAAGAGCCCCCCCCCCACAAAAAAAAGGCAAAATCCAGACATAGTTTAGGAATGCTGAAAAACCTATCTGACCAGGATAAAATAAAGAGAAGGTGAAAACAATGTACAGAAGAACTATACAGAAGAGATTAAAGGATGATAGGCTCCTTCAAAGAGGAGTCCTATGAAGAAGAGCCTGCAAGATTAGAAAAGTGAAAACTAATCTGAAAGCACTTAGAAGGAATAAAATACCTGGAACAGATCGGGTACAAATAGAACTATTCCAAGCTGCAGAAATTGGACTGATGCAAATCCTAACAAGAACATCTCAACAAATATGGAAAATGAAAGAAAGGCCCACAGACTGGAGACATTAAATATACATTCCACCACTCAAGAAAGGAGCTGCTAAAGGGTGCAGCAACTATAGGAGCATTGCACTAATTTCCCATGCAAACAAAGTAATGCTCAAGGTGTTGCAGCAAGGAATTTTACCCTATCTAGAGTGAGAAATGCCTGGCATTCAAGCTGGATTCTAAAAAAGAAGCAGCAGCCAAGATCATATCACAAATATACATTGACTATCGGAACACACCAAAGGATTTCAGAAGATACATTTATGCTTTACAGATTAGCACAAAGTCTTTGACTGCATGAATTAGGAGAAACTATCAATGGCCCTGAAAGAAATGGGTGTGCCCCACCATTTAATTGTAAAATAGATGCATATCCTGTATTGTGGACAAATAAGCTAGTGTTAGGACAAAATATGGAGAAACTAAATGGCTTCCTAGAACAAAGCTGTTATTTTACCTTCCCATGTTATATGCAGAACATATAAAGAAAGCAGGATTAGGAGGAAGGAGAGAAAATTGGTGGAAGGTGCATCAGTAGTTTTAGATATGCAGATGATACCTGGCAGAGAACAGCAGCAAATTAAAATGACACCTGATGAAAGTGAAAGAAGAAAGTGCAAAAGTAGGACTGCGGCTGAACATTAAGAAAACAAAATAATGACTACAGAAAAATTTTAGCACTTTACTGACAACAATGAAGAAACTGAAATTGTGAAAGATTTTTGCAGCAGTTCAAAGGGAGACCGTGGCCAAGCCAATAGAGGACTGAAATTTAGAAGGGCCACAATGAAGGAACTAGAAAAGATCATTAAGGCAGAAGAAGAAGGGAAGACCAACTATGAGCTGGATTGATTCCACAAAGGAAGCCACAGTCTTGAGTTTACAAGAGTTGAGCAGGGTTGTGACAGACAGGACATTTTGGAGGATGTTAATTCATACTATCACCCTAATTAGTTATGGCTTGACAGTACATAACAATACATGTAACTGTATTATTTTATTAATGTTGTTGATTTTATACTGTAATAGCCAGCCAGAGACCATGTTGCTAAATAATAACAACAAACATATTTAGGATTACACAGCGTGATGTAATCCTAAATGTGCTTCCCCATCCACAGATGTCTCTGTACCACATATAATTTCCAGTACCATCTCAGCTACTTTTTCCTACGCCACAGATATCACTAGCTAAGTCCAGGGCTGCCCCCAAGATATTTCCTTGCCTGAAGCAGAGCAGCAAATGGCACCTTCCTTCATGCCACCATTCAAGGTGCATAGTACTCAGAGCCAGTCAAATTGTTATGGCTACTGGGACAGCAAATCTTATAAACACTTATTCCTTGTCCTGGTGGTGAAAATACAATCATGATTAATGAAATAAATAATGAATATTTGGCTGCTTTTTATTATGTCACAGAAGCCTTTAAAGGTAATTTTAAACTAAAGACACCCTTATTTATAAAGAGGATGGGGAGACGAAGAGATTTGCTTTTGGAAAAATTCAGGTGATAACATTCAAGGAAGGTAGAAGAGGGGAAGCATGTATAGACAAAATGCCATCTAGTTCATGGGAATCAGAGGCAACAAAAATCAGCAGGCTTCCTATATATTTATTTTAGCAAGTGCCATTTTTCTCCAATTTCCTGAGTAACAACTTCTTTCAAAATTCTGTATAGTACTCTCCTGTCTTTAAGATGCCACAGTGGCAAGTCCCTATATTCTTCTCACATTTTCTCAACTTCCTCTGATGCCTAGGAAAGCCATGCTCCCACCAGAATCTGGCTGCATGGATCATGCAAAAAGCAGGTGCAGACCCAAGGAGATGACTGCCAAGCCAAGGAGCTCTAGGCATATTGAAGCAAGCCAAGGTAAGCCATAGATTTGCATATTATCTAGCCCTAAATCCAGACCTTGCTGGCTGTTTGACCCCTTTCAGTCAAATTTTGCAATCAAAATTTTGATTTTCTCTGAGGTAAGAGGCTTGGTTTCACTTGGAGGGAACAACATATGAAGAAGGCATCTGGCACTTCATTTGTTATGTGTTGTTTCTCTTGTCAGGGCTTACTATCTACCATGGCCCAGGGCACACATTTCACTTGGCCGGGCAGGTTTCTGCAAAGTTAGACATGCTCCAAGAAAGTGGTACTGTTAGGTAATTTTGGACACTTGGCAATTAAAATAACAAAAATATGTGGAAAGAATGGTGGAATCCTCTAGTCCAAAAGGCTGGTCTCTTCATGCTACATTTCCTGTTACGTCTGAATGAAACAGGATTTAGCTCCACATAGCAACATAAAGGAGTGACCTTACACCAAGTCAGAGCATTTGTGCACCTAGCCCAGGATTGTTGACATTACTGACTGCAATTCCCCAGGGTTTCAGGCAGGGTTTTTTCCGCCTTACCTGGAAATATCAAGGACTGAACCTAGGCCTTTCTATATGTAAAGCTTTTCTACTTGCCACAGAGCCCTGACCCATTCTTTGCTTTTCAAATAGGGAAGCATTCATAAAAGTATCTATGCTTGCCTGCAAATTTCCATGATTACCAGGTTTAGAAAATAGCATTGCAGTGCAGCCTGGCTATTTAGCTGTTAGGAAATTGTATTCATGATGTTATAAAAGTAGCCTATAAAAAGACTATTACTCAAATATTTTTCTCTGCAGGGAAATCTCTCCACTGGCTCTTTCAAAAAGGATGCTGTGAGGACTCAAGTGTACTCAGCCCAAGTGACTGGTCAGTTCAGAAATAAAACAAAAATAAACTTCCCTAGAAAGTAGTTCTCTGCAGCAGCTGTTTCATAAGTAGGGACAGTGAACTCTGCACATGTTCACAGAACTTATAACCTGTATTCCTGGCATTGCAAGCAAGCACCCTCTGTCACATAAACAGACCCCAGGACTGAGCTCTGGTTCAAAGTAAAGCGTGGGGAGCGCCCTTCCTCAGGGTGTCTCTCGTATGCTTCGCTGTGGAGCGGACCCCGCTGCTCTCCCACCACCCGGCATCGGGGCGAGCGTAAAGACAAAGGCTTAACGGACAGATCCCTGCCACAGGCCTCCCAAGGCCGCCGGAATCCGGCGGCACTTTCCCGCGTAAACTGCTGTTGTGTTTCCTTCTTTCGGGCGCTCCTCCTCTGCCCCGCGGGTCGGGTTATGAAACCGCCGAGGAGGTGCTTCCTTCTCGTTTCTTTCATTCGTCAAGCTCCTCGGCGGCGCCGGCCTAAGCAGGAAGCCCCTGCACCGTTAGAAAGGACGAGTGTGCGCCACAGGCCGCGGCAGTTCAGGTGAGGGGGGGGGGGCCCGCCGTTGCTTACTCCTTTAACCTGTGGCGGAGGCCTTCGTGGGCGGGCGATGTTTTCCCGGGCGCGTGGTCCGGCACGTCAGTTGCATACCTTGCTTCTCATGGCTGAGGCTGGGGGTCCCGCCGCCGTCTCACACTGGAAGGGTGGCGTAGGGCGTGCATCTCCAGCGGGCTGCCCTTGGACTACAACTCCGCGAACCCCACAGCCAGCATAGATGTTGGGAGTTGTAGTTCAACACTTCTGGAGGATACCGCCTTGTGGAAGACTAATCCAGGAGGATACTAATTAGACAGTCTCTGGAGGCCTGGGCTTACATGTCTCACCCAGTCACTTTTGTGTCCCATAGGCGTATATGGTAAGGGTATAATGTTACGCATATTTAAGCAGAAAAAAGCCCTGCAACTCCCAGCGTTCCTGAGCATACCTTGGCTGGGAAATGCTGGAAGATGTAGGACTTTTCTCTCTCTCAAAACAGGCATAGGATTGCACCCCAAATGCAATTGAGAAGCTGATTTTGGAAGTTAGCCTTAACTCTTTCATAGTCTTTGTGAGGAAGGAAAAATCAGGTCTCAGCAATAAGTTTTGGAGTTTCTGTGTTTTTTGTATTGTTTCATAATAAGGAATTAGTGATAGTTAACACTGTGCTATTGCTTGTTGGTGAAAATATATGTATGTGTTACAACTGTATTTCTTATTTGCAGCAATGCAGAATTGTGTTTTGTCCTCACAAAAACTATGAAGCAGATTAGGCAGAGAGGGAGTGTCTCACAGAAAGTCACTCAGCATAGCTGAACAAAGCTTTGGTCCTTATGCATGTACCATGCACAAACCCAACATTCTAGCCACACTACCTCTCTGGTAAGCTTACTTGACCCTGCACTTATTGATGGTCAGAATAAACCTTATGCAGTAATATTTATTTATATTGCGATTTATATCCTGCCTTTTTCCTACAAAGGGCTCAAGGCAGCTTACATCTCCTCCTCCATCTTATCCCCACAACAACAACCCTGTGAGGTAGGTTGGGCTGAGAGTCTGTAACTGGCCCAAAGTCACCCAGTTGGCTCCATGGCTGAGCCGGGACTAGAACCCAGATCCTCTGAGTCCCAGTCCCATGCTCTTAACCACTACACCACACTGGCTCTCCTATTCAACTATATATCTCAGTTGAATATAGTGACCTTTACTTATGAGTTAAGGTGCACAGGCATTTGCTTTGAAAAGGAATAATCTCCTAATTGAAAGCATTAATTCTAATGCCTATGGCCAGCATCCTAAATGACTTCAGATTTTCCCAGGAAACTGGGAAACCCTAAGCTAGCAAAAACCTATTGGCAGAAATTACACTATTGGCAAAAAAGAGACCGCCCCACATTTTGTTTACTAAAATTATTTTTATGTACCAATACCAATAAAGTGAGGGTGTAACAATCACTTTTGCAGTTTCCAGTTTGGTATAGAAATGGTTGCTGTATAGATTAAGAGGCAAAGAAGGAGACGTTATGTGCTGTTACTTCCACTTTAAGTGTGTTTAAAAGGTATGTTAACCATTTGCTGTAGACTAAGATGTTGGAAGTCCAACATCCCCCCACCCACTGCACTGGCCCTTTTCAGTAATTTAACAGAATGCCTCCTGGGAAGCAGTCAAAGGACAAGAAACATCAGCAAACATATGAGAGTCCATCAGAAAAAGAGACACAGTCAACTGGGAAAAGGAAACGAGACTGTGGAGCACCAGAAAATGAACCACAAGCAAAGAAAGTACTTGTGAAAAAAGCTATCAAGCATCTGGGAAAAACTGGTAATCTTCCTTCATAATTTTCCTCATATACAGTACCGTGTAATGCTAATATGATTTGCATTTGCTTGGTGTTGTTTGGTCATGTACTATCCTGATAGAAGTTATTACTGTTTGCATATTGACTGTATTAATCATAGTTCACTGTATCAGCATGGGTAATTGTGAATTGCTTTCTTAGTAATTTTGCTTGTTTGTTTTAATAATTTTAAGAAAATTCAGAACTCTTGGGAGGGTATCCCAAGCAAATTTATATTTACATGTTACCTCTCTCCAGGAAAAGGGAAATATATGAAGTAGGTTTAACTTCTAGTGCTTTTGGTGGTATTCCTTTTAACTAACCCCACATAGTAAAATCAGGAGAAGTTTAAAAGATAGTTTTGTATAACCCTAGACAGCATACTAAGAAGCAGAGACATCACCCTGCCACCAAAAGTCTGTATAGTCAAGGCTATGGTTTTACCAATTGCAATGTGTGGCTGTGAAAGCTGGACCATAAGGATGGCCGAGCGCCGAAGGATTGAGGCCTTTCAATTGTGGTGCTGGAGGAGACTCCTGCAAGTCCCTTGGACCGTAAGGTGATCAAACCGGTCAGTCGTAGAGGAGATCAACCCTGACTGCTCTTTAGGAGGCCAGATACTGAAGATGAAACTCAAATACTTTGGCCACCTAATGAGAAGGAAGGACTCCCTCCCTGTAGAAGAGTCTAATGCTGGGAACAATAGATGGCAAAAGAAGAAGGGGACGGCAGAGAATGAGGTGGCTAGATGGAGTCACTGGGGCAGTTGGTGTGAGCTTAAGTGAACTCCGGGGGATGGTGGAGGACAGAAAGGCCTGGAGAAATGTTGTCCATGGGGTTGCGATGGGTCGGACATGACTTTGCAACTAACAACAACAGCAAAAACCCTAAAACTGACATAGCAATAAATCTCTTAAAGAACTAACTTTCAGAATATAATTAAGGTTGAGTATCACTTTCTGTGCTGACACTTTCACTCATTAGGAATATTCAAATAGTGCAAATGAGACAAGAACTAGAAAAGCATAGCGTGTTTATGTTTGAGGCCCAACTATGTGATGCAATCTTTTAAACTCTGGATCTTCTGCTTTTGTGTGTAAAGTTGAGTGCAGAGGTTGTGGCTGAAAAAACCAGCCACAAAGGAGGAGGCTGCTAACCCTTCCATAACTCTTTTCTTGGTAAGCTGTCTCCCCAGATACTACAAGTGAGCCAGATTATAAGAAACAGACTGCATGTATGTGGGGATGAGGGGACTGGCAACCTGCTCAGTAACTTACCCTCCTTTCTGCTTGTACATTTGTTTTGCTGTTTCATTAGTGCCCATGCTGTTTGACATGTCAAGTGAGGTAGGTCTGCAGGGATGTTGCTATCATATGTAGCTAGGCCAAAGCCAGCTCCACTTAGTGTTTAGTGCTAGGAGTCTTCTGTCTGGAGGAAACGTCTGCTTAAGTGTTTCATATGATCTGCTTTTTCCTTTTATAACTTTAAAGGTGGAATCCTATGCATGGGGAATGATTTGATATGTCCTGGAGAGGACTGACTAGATCCTGAGTGGGTATAGATACAGATGGTGATTCAATACACAATGAAGACCTAAGGTTAGAACAAATAAGCAGATCCCAAGTTAAACTGCTCAGCAAAATTCTTCCTGGACAACATGGTTTTTAGACTTTTCCATGAAGAGTCAGCAGGTTTTTTGTTGAAAACAGACTGCCAGCAGCTCTGAGCATTTTATATAAACTACAGAACAAACCCAGAATATTCTGTTTCAGCAGGAGCTTCAAGGGGAGTGGCTGGGATGTATGTTCTCATGCTTTCGGAATTTTCAGTAGTCTTCCCCTACCTCTTTATCTCCTCTTTGTAATTTCAGTTTGAATTAAGAAATCTCTCTACCACCATTTACCTTTTTAACTTTTCTCTGAGTTAGTGCCTGCTCTTCTGCTTCTGCAGAATTTAAGTTGACTTTCCACACTTGAGGATTTTGCACCTCTTTTTCTGTATATTCTCCAGTATGCCATTTACACTAGTGTAAGTGACATCACTGAGCGGTTGGGGAAGGGAAGGTCCAGTTCACCTAAACAGTTTGTCCAACTAACTCAAGTTATACTGCTTAACCCTGTTGGTGGGCGGTTCAGCCTTCCAGGTGAGTGACATCTGCCCTGTTCTGGATATGGTTGCACTCCCCCTAAAGGACTATGTGTGCAGTCTCGGAGTGCTCCTCAACCCAGATCTGTCCCTGGAATCTCAGGTGGCAACAGTGGCAAGGAGTGCTTTTTTGTAGCTTCGGCTGATTTACCAACTGCGCCCTTACCTGGATGAGCATTGCCTTGCAACGGTGACCCACACTCTGGTAACTTCCCAACTGGATTATTTTAACGCAGTCTATGTAGGGCCGCCCTTGAAGGCAATCCAGATACTTCAGTTGGTTCAGAATAGAGTGGCCAGGATATTAACAGGGACTAGCAGGTATTCACATATAACACTGGTCCTCTGTCGCTTACACTGGCTGCCAGTTGAAGTCCGGGCCCAATTTAAGATGCTGGTGATGACCTATAAAGCCCTGAGGGGCTTGGTTCCTGGAAACCTGAAGGAGCGCCTTATTCCTTATATGCCCTCCATCCCGTTAGATCTGAAGCGGAGGTTCTTCTTCAGGAGCCCTCCTTGAAAGAGATTAGGAGAGTGATTACCCAGAGGAAGGCCTTCTCTGCGGTGGCGCCCTGATTGTGGAATATGCTCCCCAGAGTGGTTCACCTGGCACCAATGTTTTTTTCTTTTTGGTGCCAGGAGAAAACCTTTTTATTCTTCTGTTATTTTAATGTTTAATTGGTTTTAATTGTGATTTTATTGTGCATTGCTGGATGCTGTGCCATTTTTATTTGTGCTTGTTGTAAACCACCCTGAGATTCTAGTAATGGGACGGTCTAGAAAATCTTTAAATAAATAAATATTTCAGCAATATTAATCCTTTCCTTATATATGTATTTGCTGAGCTAATTCTGTTTTGGAGGTATTAGCTGATGAGCAGAGGCTGGGACTGCTGATACTTGAGGGAAGCAGCAAAGGAAGATTGAGCTGACAGTAGCCTGAGGGTACTTCATTGTGGGAGGACGGGCTGGGGAAGCAACAGTTCTAGCCGAGCTGCCTCTGGGAATTAAAAGTTCACTCCATTCTCCTCAGTTTAGCTTTCTGAAGCAGGAGAAGACTGAATTTCTTCGTAAGGAAAGAGACTGGGACACTGCAGGATGCCTCAGCAAACAAGACATGGTGGGACATCAGTCACTATGTTGTCAGTAGACCCAACCTACTCATGCATGATTTCCTGTGAAGATTTCACTTCTGTTCCATTTCTTACAAAAATGTTTTTTTCCCCTCAACCTGCAGTCAGCATAACAACACTTGGGTCTGTTAATTTATAGTCAGCATAACAATATTTCCCTCCAGTGGTTTTCAGTGTTGTTCTTCTTCCTGACACTCAAGATGACCTAGAATTAACTTCATGTTGTGCACCAATATGTTTACATTGTTTGGGTAAGATAAGTATCTCAAGTAGACTGTTGTTATGCAGATTTGGGGAGGTACTTTTTCTCTCAAGCATGTTTGTATTGTAGAAAGAAAAATATAAAAGGGAAGTGGCTGAATTTGGCGTGCTGGGGCGGTGGGGGGGGGATGGCCTCAATTGTGCCCACCTTCACTGTATGAGCGTGACTGCAATCGTGCCCATCTTCCCTGCATGAACGTGAGCACATCTATCTTCCCTCCCCACCACAATCGTGCCCATCTTCCCCCACCAGCACAATTGTAGCTATGTCCCTTGAATATGGACATGCTCTTCCCCACCTCATCTCTTCCCCACCTCATTAATTTTTTAATACTTTAAAAAATTAATTAATTTTAATTAATTTTAATGTGCAGTATGCATAGGAATTCATTCATATTTTTTTTCAAACTATAGTCTGGCCCTCCAACGGTCTGAGGGACAGTGAACTGGCCCCCTGTTTCAAAAAGTTTGAGGACCCCTGATATAGGTGAACAAAATTATCTGAAGCATAACCTCTTCCCGTGTGTCTGCCCATGCTGTGATATTCTCTGGCACCCTGCTGTGAGTGCCCACACATAGGTTCAGTTTTGAATACAGTTTTGAAACCAGAGCTAAGCAGTGCAAGTATAGTCAGAGGTAAGCAAAGTGATAATCAATATTTACTGGTAAATGATTTCAAAACTGCATGTATTTGAAAGGTTAGCTTTGTGAGGTTTTGGAATGATCATGTTTAATCTTTCTGTTTTGGCATTCTCTTAAAAATAATAATTCTGTGCTGCTTGGTGGTCTTATATTTGGTTCTTATCTGTTGTCCTCAATGTTCCTCATCTGTAAAATATTTCTATTAACTAGTTGCCTTCTACCAAATTTTTGTACAATTCTCTCTCCAGGGTCTTGTGTTAGCAATTCTATAGTAATTTTGTTCTTGTATTTGTAGAATACTCAAAAGTAATTGTGTCCTAGCAGGCCCACACTTTTCTTCTAGCTGTCCGCTTCTCTCCATTCACCATTTTGCTTGTGGCTCCAGCTGATGGGCTTTGAGGGGTCTCATAAAATAACAAAGAAGATTCTGATGTCTGAAAATGTATATAAGGAGGTAGTAAGTTCACTTTTGTTGCTGCCTGGCAGGACAAGCTTTCTATGGCTCCGTGATCCAAAACTCAGGAGTGTTCATTCCTCAGAAGGAGATACAGAAAAACATTGTTCATTATGTTTATCAGAACATGCTGGGTGGTAATACTGGGTCACAGCTCAGGAAGGTGAGTGTTTCTCCCTGCAGTTTCCATTCATATTTAAAAAATACTTTTGTGAGATCATATATGGTATGGAGGATTAGAGGATGAAAATTTACCATTGTTAGTCTGACCCAGTGTTTATGTTCCCTCAGGGCATGATGCATACTGTGATTTTTCCTTTTTTGGCCATGTGGCCACCTGACTATGAAATCTCCTTTTGCTCCATTTGTTGTAAGCTTCTAATTCTGGATTTGTGTAGTTTTTGTTTTTGGAGGGTTTTTTCCCCCAATCTTGGTCCTGTGTTGTTTCTTGCACATGCAGCATCAGAAATCAGTGTGCATTGTCAAATTGTTGTTCTTCTTCCTAGCATATTTTTCCTTTCTTTTTGTCATGATCATGATTTTGTTACCTCACAGTCCCCAAAACAAATATCTGTAGGGGGGAACTATACAAAATATCCTACTGGGTGGTGCTACTTCAGTGTTTTCTTTAAGAAAAACAAAACAAACCCCAGTATCTTGTGACTTTTACTCTTTTGGGAGAAAAGCAACTGGGAGAGAGGCAATTTTTGAGTGGAAAAAGTGCAAAAGGGAAGGGTTAAGCAGTTCTGCCTCTCCTCTTCTTCTGAAAATTGTAGCATCCAGAAACTGTTTTCAGTTAAAAAGGAAAATGCCAGAGACAAGAGTCACAGGGATGTCCATAGTCAATTTGGCCCAAAGTTAATCCATTCAACTGTGCATATGGGTGGAAGAGTAGTACAAACTGTATCTGAATTAGAGGGTTTTGATGCCAGTCACACATTGTCTCTGCTATAGTGTCTCCAGGTGCCCTTTGTGCATTCTCTCTACTTGTACCGCCTGTTCCGAACAGCAAGTCCCTTTGATAGGCGAATTACCTGCTTAGAATGGCATCCAACACACCCTAGCACGGTTGCTGTGGGCTCCAAAGGTGGCGATATCATCCTATGGGACTATGAAGTGCTTAACAAAACCTGCTTCATAAAAGGGGTAAGTCATTATGAACATAGTTATCTTCAGATGCTATATATTAGAGCCGGGTGTGATGCCCTGCACTGGATTATCGTTGAAGGCTACAAGTTAGAACTGAATTACACTTGAAGAATTTGTGTTGTAATTTCTCTTTCTATGCAAGGGACAGATTTAGCTAGGGAGGGGTATCATTGAAGTGGCTAACTATTTTAAAATGGAACATCTGTAAGAAGAACACATGGGGAATATTTAATTTGGTTTTGGCATTAACTGCTCACTTCATCATCATGTGTAGTCAGATAAAGAAGAACTTAACTGAGTGAAAGGGATAAAATCCCTGGAAATAAAGTGATATTATTCATTAGCCTTGTGACTAGGTTGCATTGATAAAAATATTTTGGTAAATCATATTGGTGTTTCTCTCTGGGGTGAAATTTTTAATTTTTAGAGGTTGAACAGACAAAATATTGAGAAATAAGAGAATAGTTTCCTTGAAAATTCCTAGCTGCCTCTGAGGATAATGTGTCACCACTATCTGGATTTGTATCTCTTTGCATTGAACCAAGAAATATTACTGTGTTAGGCATTTGAACTAGAAACTGATAAAAACACAAGACCAATACTTACGTGATTTTCATTTCATGCTTATCAAGCAAACACACAAAGACAAAAATAGTAACATGGCACTTGCAGAGTTCCTATCCTACGGTCTCTCTCAGAGGCATCACCTTCATCTTTCATTTCATCCTCCAAGTCTTCTCAAGAAAGCAATAATTAATATACTTTCCTAAATTGATTTTTCCAATGCTGTCTATTTATTGCGGGACAGTATGTGCCTCCAGCTTTCTGCTTTATCATCTCATTCTTCTTCCCTGCTTCTACCTCTGCATGTGAAAAAGAAAGCACATATAAAATATGTAAAAAATTCTATTAGTATTTACCATAAACAACTCAGTTTGCTCACAAAGTAACCAACTGGCTGGTACCCTTAAGCAATCCATTTAATTCACAGCGTGGTTCATGCTTAGGAGGTGTCTAAATAGATGACTTAGCAGTCCATATGACTGTCACCCTGATAACCTGTTCCTCAGTTGGAGCCAAGGTCTGTGCAGGATCATTTTCCACCATAGTAGAAATTGTAATTAACAGGAGTGGTATTGGCCAGGGGAGCTGAAAACTTCTTTGTAAGGAATTTTGCTTCTCCTTAGTCCTTATAGTACTATTGGTGTTGAAACAAGAGTAAGAGGGCCTTTCCTCTTTCTTATTCTCTGAGTCCCCTTCTGTTTTATTCATCCCCATTCATGATAGATGGGAGCTGGAGGGGCCATCACAGGAATGAAGTTTAACCCTTTTAATCCTACTGAGGTGTTTACATCATCACTTGCTGGATCTACTGCTCTTCAGGATTTTAATGGGAATACAGTCCGAATCTTCACCAGTACCGACCATTGGAAGTAAGATGCAATTTAGTTCTCTCCATCTTTGATTCCTTCTATGATTAGACAGTAGTACAAACACAGGAAGTAGCATAGAAGACGGGATGGAGATGCTGTCCAATTCAGAACTTGGCTGATTTGCAATACCTGAATCACTGTTTTTTTGTTTCACTATGCTCCATCTTTTAGTCAAGAAAGCACCCCATAAGGGCATTGGTGAAGAACAAAGTGGAAAAACAAATAATTTAAAACGACTTAGAAGCACAATAGCCAGGAATCAGAATGCAAATGTCAAATTAAGACAATTCTTGCTCTGAAAAATTGCCAACATTCTGGCAATACCTTGGCAGAAGTATTTGATTTCAGACATATCAGATTCGATAAGTAGGACCTGCAATGAATTCATGTAGCATGTACTTTTCAGTACTTCAGCCAGCTGGCTAGAATCCACCTTTCCAGGATGCACAATTCCCCCCCCCCCCCATCTGTTTTCTAGCCCACCTACAACAAAGAAAGTATTCTGTACTCATTAAGCATATTCTGGCTTCACTGGGCTGTGTGTTTCTTTTTTGTTACAATTCCTGTACTCCAAAACATCTGGACAGCACCAGGTTGGGGAAGACAGATTTAACAACATGAATATATCAGGTTCAACAGTACAATGACAGTGAACTTTGTGATATACTAAGGATTTAATGTCCATTCTGGAAAAGATGATGGAAAATCTCATAATGAGGACAAACCTTGTGGAATTCTATGACAAGTTTTCGAGGTGGCTAGTCGATGGGGGGGAAATGCAGTGGATGTGGTTTACCTGGATTTCAGCAAGGCCTTTGACAAGGTGCCACATGATATCCTGGTTGAGAAATTGATGAGCTTTGACATAGATTGATGCACTGTCCAATGGATTAGAGCATGGGTGATGGACTGCAAGCAGAGGGTCACTATCAATGGGGAATCATCAGGATGACAGCCAGTGATGAGTGGAGTCCCCCAGGGCTAAGTTCTGAGACAATTCTGTTCAATCTCTTTATCAATGACCTGCAGGAGGAGGTAACCAGTCTGCTGACCAAATTCACAGACAATACCAAACTTGGGGCAGTGGCCACAACTGGGGAGCAGGTATTCCAGATCCAAAAGAATCTGGACAGACTGTGGAAGTGGGTGGGGGACAACAGGATGGTGTTCAATATAGATAAGTGCAAGTCTTTGCACTCGGGAATAGGTGCATTAGGTACAGGATGGGGGACAAGTGGTTGGAGAGCAACATGTATGAAAGGGATCTCAAGGTACTTGTCAATACCAGGTTAAATGTGAGCCATCAATGTGATGCAGTGGTTAAGAGGCAAATGCCACCCTTGGATGTGGCATTCCAGTTCAACAGAGATACTACTACAGCTCTATAAAATTCTGGTGTGCCCACAGCTGGAGTACTCTGTCTGTTTCTGGGCTCCACATTATAAGAGAGACATAGCTAGGTTAGAATCAGTTCAACACAAGGTCACGAGGATAGTAGCTGGATTGGGGGAGATGACATAGGAGATGAACTTGTGAGAGCTGGGTCTTTTCATCCTGGAGAGGAGGAAAGTCAAAGGGGATCTTATAGCAACATACAGGTATGTGAAGGGGAGTCACATGGTAGAGGGTTGTGACCTTTTCTCCCCTGCAATGGAGGAAGGGACGCGGTCCACTGGGGCAAAGCTTAAGGAACTGGGTTTCAGGTTGGATGTCAGGAACTACTTCCTGATGGTTAGGACGCCTAGTATATAGAACATGAATGGTTTTCCATCCATGGAAAGGGGGTGCATGGGGGACATCCATGAGGGTATACAAGGAAAGATTGGGCAAACTCATTTTGGATATTACATGAGCAGAGCCAACTGGATCTGGGAGTCAGACTAGATGGCCCAGGAGACCCCTTCTCACTTGCTATGTTTCTGTTTATTATAACACTGCAGATTGTATTGCCTTAAAAAGATATTCCATACATTCCAAAAAGAAAACTATTTCATAGCAATGTTTTTCAGTGCTCCATAAAATTTCCAGCTTTTTCAAATGAGAAAAACTGGAAAAAAGTGTTCTGTGGGGATAGGAAGGAGAAAATAGCATTCTATTTCACATCTTTAGGTGGAACATAAGTTAGGGAACCTCCTCTGTGCATGTGGCAAGGAAGCTGCAACTGTTTAATAAAGTTCTACATTTTGGTTTGAATGAGGTGGTTTAGAAATAAAAACACAAAAACAGTCAGCTGGGCAACACTTGCACCTGAAAGTTATAATGGTTGTTGATTAGATCTCATGCATTCTACTTTTAGTAGCTGTCTAAAACTGGATTCCAAAGGCTATGGCTTTGGTACAAAATGACTGTAAACGTAGCAGCCTTCTGCAGTGGCCACAGCAACTTTGAATGCCTGTTACTGGTTTGAGAAGTTTATATTATGTTACTTTTTATGCATTCTGGTATCAATACCAGTGTTTTGAACAGTGTATGAACACTGCCTGTGTTTAAACTGAGTGTAAGACGGGTTGCATGAATATTTTATTCTCTTCTCAGTTTGTGTCTGAGAAAACTGATTCAGCAGTTCTGTGATGCATATAAAGGAGGCAAAATAGATACATACTTGGCCATTCTCATGTAATATCATATCTCATCATATGCTTGCATATCCTTTATATTAGCTGAATTTTATGTGGTTTTAGATGTTATTGTTTTATTTTACTACAGCTGTGTTATGTTGTTTTATCTGTTTTTTGTGAGCCACACAGAGATACCCCAGGCTATGGGGTGGCATACAAATACAATCAATCAATCAGTCAATCAATCAGTATGCATGTTCATGTCTCAATTAAAAATACAGTATGAATGTGCTTTTGTGTGAAGGTGTCACTTGTTGATTTGATAAAGTTTGATGTTTGTTGACATGAGAATAATGTTCCTCTATTGTCTATGAGATGCCATGCCTGTTAGATACTTCTTCCCAAAAAGCAGGTGCATTGCCTATTGGAAAAGACCAGATATCATGCACTGGAGAATGTGAGTAAGTCCTTTCTGAGAAGATGTTCAACAGAGCAAGTGCAGGAAGTTCCCCAGATTCCAGTGTGGAATTTTGCTTGTTTTGTTCCTGTTCTCTCAAGCTTGGAGACAGATCAAAGTGTAGCAGCCAAATTCACATCCTGTAGTCTGAACAAAAGGAAGAAACTTTGTAATGTGAGGGCAATTGGCTGGCCTGATCCTAAAGGCACACAGTATATTCAGGGGTTTTTTTTTCTATAAAACAATTGGTAATATTTATTGCAGCTTGTGTTGAGGATATATGTCATGCTGTGTTGTCCTCATAATTATCCTAGTCCTGTATTACTTTTGTTTGCTCTATGTTTGCTGTAAATGGGCACTAAGAATGTTGAACTGAGAGTACATAATCAATACAAATGGTTTTGTAGGACAGGGTTGGTTAGACCAATCCACTGGGACAGAAACTGGCTAATATTTCTTCTTATGTTTCTTTAGTTGTCCAGTACTTTTCAACAGGCTATTGAATAGCTTTCTAGCATTTGTTGAGCTTGCTCCTGATAGCTAACTAGCCAGTGTGGAGCTAGTATAGGGTGAGGGTAATTAATCAAGTATTAGCTGGATTCATTAATTTATCCAGTCTTCTAAAGCTTGGAGCTTGTCTCCCAGGATGTGGTGGCACCCTGTTCCCATTCTTCCATAGTAACTTGGGTGTGTTCCTCTCTTATTTCCACCTTTGTTTCAGAAGGACCCAGGAGGCTCCCAGGGAAGCATGAAATTCTACATATTTAAAGTAGAAAAAACATCATGTGGCATCAGGAAATGACACCCTTTAGTCTACAGGATTTTGAGGGCCAAGCAGCACATAGCTTAGGCAATGGCGATGAATACCATGTTTAGTGATGAGTAAGGAGGGCAGGGACACTGTTCAACTAAGAATATTAACATTCTTGGGAACAGTAGAAGAAAGATTGGGATTTGTTCAGGCTGTTTTCCTGGGTATATAGGAAGTAAAAGGTTTCTGCTTTCGACTCTAACCCAGCCTTCTACAACCTGCAGTGTTGGACTGCAACTCCCATAATTAAAGTCAGCATGGGAATTGCAGTCTGTGGCACTAGGTTGGGGAAGTCTAATTTAATGGATCTAGTGGTAAATTATCTGAATCCATTCACTGCTGTTTACTCTGGCAGATAAAATAGTTCAGCATATTGGTTGCCTAAGCATTTGAGTGATGTGCAGGGGAAAGGAGTATTAAACCATTTTTAAATGACTGTTTTAAGGGTAGTTTCCATTTTTCCAAGTGTTATCTGTTGATTGCCTCTTGACTTGAACTATGAACCTTGTATTTTGTTTGGTTTATTTATTTTATTATTTATTTATTATTTATTACTCTACTTGGTAAATAGATCCAAATGGATTCCACATTAGAGGACTCCTATGGAACATCTCAGTTGCAATTCACTTGTGTAAATGCTGAGAGAGTGGCTTTTATTTTATTTGTAGGGGCAAGAAACATCCCATATGTACTTACTGTACAAGGAGACAGTTCTGATTTTATATTTTTTTCCTTTAGTTTCTGGTACTGCAGTGTTGATGTATCTGCAACTCACAGGACTGTAGTGACGGGTGATAATGTGGGCAACGTCATCATGCTTGGTATGGATGGTAAAAAGGTTTGTGTCTTCCTGTCTTAGCTTTATAGTTTGCCTTTTCGACTCACATTAGCTATGTTCTTAGATCCCTGTTTCTGCATTCACAAACTGCATTCATGTGGAGTTGCGGAGGAGGACTTGCTTCCACTTTGTCCAACCATACCCTCTTTTGGCATTCCCTAGATAAATAATCTGTGCAGTTGTTTCCTATGCAGGTATTTCCCTTACAATGGACAACACTTGCATGAGGAAGAATAATTTCATTACCCCACTTATGGTGTACAAACCTTTGGCCCCAAGGGCTGCCTCTGATGGTGAGTTGGAGGCCACTTTCATCTGCACACACATGTATGTGGTGTGCACACACATGCACACACCCCCAGTGATCCTAATACAGATTATTTTGCTTAGGAAATTCATGCTCTGTTTCTGAATTCTCTAGATAAGAAACTCTTGCTGTGTTGCTGTCACATGTTTTATCTTCCCTATTATATCCACTTCAGATATGGAATTGGAAGCTGCACAAAAAGAAAGTGACTCATGTGGAGTTTAATCCTCACTGTGACTGGCTCATGGTTACAGCTTCTGTGGATCAGATGGTCAAAATTTGGGATCTGAGAAACATTAAGGACAAGTCAAAGTGCCTTCATGTTCTTCCACATGATAAAGCTGTTAATGCAGGTAAAATAGAAAAATGGAGATTCTCTTGTTGGCGGCTTCCCCTTTCCTATCTGTTTTTGGGCCCATGTTCATGTCTGTCTTTCAGGTCAATGTCTTTGCCTATTCACCTTGAATTCACTGTGCCAGCTGCTCCTCTAAGTTCACCGTTTGGCCTTTATAGTCACTATCAGCCCAGCAACTTCACGATTGCTTAGGTAAAACAAGTTAAGGGCAAAGTATAAATAGTCCCCTACACTGGCATAACGTAAGAAAGAAATTGGCAGTAAAATGCCCCTCTTACTTATGCTGTATTTTCCTTTACCTTGCCAAAAAGAAGAAGTGATCTCAGAATGAGTCTGGAAATCTATTTTTTTCTACCAGTATTAGCCCTAGAGAGTGAAAAAATACAGAGGAAATTTGATGGTAACAGGGTTTTTTTACCATGTTAAAAAAAGCATGGCCAAAATTGTACTGTTTATATCTTAATTGTATCTTGTATTCTTAACAGGGCAACTACCATGGTTACCTTATCGAGCAAATGTAGGGGAAAGTCCTATTGTTCCAAACAACAACCCTAGAAAGTATTTAAGGGACTGTAGGATATTTCAGATCCCCAGATCTGAGGTCAGAGACAGCGTTCCTACCTTACAGTTGGAATGAGAGCACTGCTGCTTCTCCTCCCTTCCTGCTGACTCTGAAAGAACCATGCCAACTGCCAGGGTTGGGAGAATGACCTCAGAGAAGTAGGAAAAGAGGTGTTCTGGCGGATGCTGTCTGGGGAATACTGGGGGCTATAGTCCCCCTTTCCTGGCTAAATATGCATAGGATTGTAGGTTTAGCTGATTTAGCCATTTCAGCTAATTTCTAAGTCTAAGCAATCAGTTTCTTCAGTGCAAGGGGCAAGTAAATTATGCTATTTACACACAAACCTTGTTGAAAAATACTTGGTATTGCTGTTCATGGTTTGATGTGAAAAACCCTGCATAAGCTATTTATATGTTTAGGGTGTTTGTTTAATGTTAGTAAGGGGTTGTTAATAGTGGTATCATTGATCTTGGGACTGTTTAGGCTCCATGGTTTTCAAATGTGTCATAGGACCTTTTCCATATTTTTTATGAACGGCTAGTATAGATGGTTCCATATAAGTTTGACTTTAAGTTTTTCCCTTTTATTCAGTGTTTCTGTGGATCCTGAATCTCTCTTGATTTTTTTAATGTAAAGAAATGCTTCAAGTGTGCAGCTTATCAGGTGGAAAGTGTGCATTTTTCTGGATTTTGCTGAAATAAAATGCATTTAAATACATCTGAGTCCTATTCAAATCAATGGTATTGTAAGGATTCATGTATAGTGTTGATTTATTGGAAATTCAGGTTGCTGTTCTCAGCTGGGGTTGGTTGTTGCTCTATTTCTAGTTACATTTATAACCTTTGTTATTTAGGACAAATCCATTTGTTGCTTTTGTCAGTTTCACAGACTGAAAAAGCGATTAAGGGCATAAGCTAATGACTTCTGGTGCAGATGCACATACTAATTCAAACTTAGAGACTTCTAAGTCTCGGATGCATAGAGCAATGTGTAGTGGTGGCAACTGCTTTCACTGTGGTACCTTGTGCTGTGCAGAAATGGCAGGGAGGCTGGGGCATCAAAAGAAAATGATGTAAACCATGAGTCCCATCCTCCTCCCTTCCCACCTCAACCAGCTTGCCCCTTTTCTACCTCTTTGAGGACCAGTTGCATCCTCGGAGAGGCTGCTGGCCCGGTTCTTTCCATGCCAGCTGTGAGGATGGCAGGGCTGGGGCTTGATCTTTGGAGTCCCAGATCTGAGTTCTCAGGACCTCAGCACTGGGCTCTGAATAGTCTTATGCTTCCTACCCCCCACAGAAAACATTGACATGCCATGGAATTGTGTCCAAAGACAATTCTAAAGTATGCATAATTATGTGCATGTGTAGAGAGAAAGAAGTCCTACAACTCACAGTATAGCACTCTGGGAGTTGTAGGGATTTTTTTGCAGCCTAAACATGTATGAAATTGCTCCTTAATTTAATAAATTATAATAATGTATGCTTCTACAGGATTAAGGATAGTGAGAGAATAAACCATAAGCAGAGTGTCTTGGGCATACCACTATTTTTTCTCCCTGGAAATTAAGTTTGATAGCCATAGCACTGCCATTTAACATATATTTCTATCTTTTATGTTTTATCCCCTTTCCAGCTTATTTTAGCCCAATTGATGGTGCCAAACTATTGACTACAGACCAGCACAATGAAATCCGAGTTTATTCCTCTTCTGATTGGTCCAAGCCTCAGCATTTGATTTCACATCCCCACCGGCAGTTTCAGCACCTTACACCTATCAAGGTGAAGAAATAGAAATGTTGGCTAACTTGATAGTGGCAGAAAGGTATCCTTCTCCTGAATAGAAGTGTGTTGGGATCCTGATTGCCAGGCAGAGTTTTCTACATAGGCAGATCCAAGGCTAAGTTCTAGATTATAATGGTTCATTCTGTTGTTTGTTGTGGATAGACACAAATAAGTGAACCAGTATTCCCCTCGTATCTAGTAGAAAACTGGTGACATTGTTTGGGCTGAACAGGTAAGGAGGCAAGAACATGAAGGAATTGTAGGACAAAAGGATTTAATTACAACCAGAAGGATTCAAAAAAGAATTTAATTATAACCAGAAGGTTATACAAGGCAAGAACATGAAGGAATTGTAGGACAAAACGATTTAATTATGACCAGAATAACTAGAGTGCTGGTTGGACCTATGGATTTGTGTTCAAGTGTCAACTAGTATTACTACTACGAACTTAGGGAAATTCTGTTACTACATTGTGATGTCTTGAAAGGTCTATGGTTTGTTTGCTGTCATGGAAAGTGATAGAAACTGAACCTGAAGGACTAGATTCCAGCTCCATAGAGTGCCTCCATTTGACAAAACTCAAGTTGTAGTTCTAGTTCATTATGATACCTATCAAATTTAGCAGTGATTTTGCTTAATTATCTCTTTTGTATTATAGGCAACATGGCATCCTCGTTATGATCTAATAGTTGCTGGTCGTTACCCAGACCCTAAGTTTCCAGGATACACAGCAGAGGAGCTGAGAACTGTTGACATATTTGATGGAAACAGTGGGAAGATGTTGTGCCAGTTACATGATCCAAATGCATCAGGCATTATCTCGGTTAGTGTAGATTCATGTATTTCAGATTGCTATTGTGTGCACCATTGCTCCTGGAGTTTAAAAAAAGTGGGGGGGGGAGGGGAATGACAAGAATAAATTGCATATTCTCTAATATCATGTCCTTGATTGAATTTTACTTGTGATAAAAATATGTGTCTGATACCGAGCTTCCCATTAGCACAGATGACTATACTTGGGTTCTCTAGCTTTCTAAGCTATTTTCAAAGGCGCTCTAGAAAGAGATATATTCATGTCAGGAATTTACTTGAAAAAGTTGCTCTTTAGTTCCTGCATTACTGCTTATGTTAGAACCTAAAGAAGGTAACAGGTCTACTGTGAAACCTTGAATGCTCTTTCATATTAGTTGTGATGAGGTGACCAGGCACTTTAGTATGCCTTTTTAGTCAGGCCTTATTTGCCATTATCATTATGCTGCCCTTCCAAATTTTCTAGCATGTAAAGAAAACTCAGTGCATTTTTGTTCTCTCAGATCCCATGCTGTGTTTGAGATTTTTTGTAGCTTTAAAATGTTCCCAAAGCATAGCAGAAGCTGAGAATTCTCCCCTCCTGCTGCATTCACCATGTATGTTAGATGACTTAGGTATGGCCATGGTTCACCCCCTCACCCCACAAAGAGAAAGTCCTCAACAGTACTTTGCAGTAAATGGAAGCCTCAGGAAAGATGAGTTATCTTTCACCTTGTGCTAGGTCAGTACAGAAGATTACTAGAATTAAAGATGTGGCTAACATTGTGAATCTGATAGCTCTTTATGAACCCTGGTAAGTGACTGTGTGATTTCTGTTTTTCAGACTTACTTTCTTGCTTTATTTAGAGCTGCTGGTCTTGTTGGAAACCAGATCCAAGCATTCTTTTAAATGCCTCTAAGGCATGTCTGTATTTTTCCTAAACTTCAGAAATAAGGAAATAGCAGCAAAGTTTACTTTAGCAAAGTTTATGTCCTTTCAATTTCTGTGTAGATCATGGGAAAGGAAACCTGAAAAGAATGATCCAGCAGTTGGCATTTGTTTCTATGAGTGATGTTCAGACTCAAAATTTGAGCCCTGAATGGGATAGTGCATTCTGTTCAGTTTACAGGGCAGAGCTTCATCTTTGATATTGGTGTGTATGAAAGGTTTAAATCCAGTTGCCCAGATCACATGCTTCCAAATAAACTTCCTTGAAGTTTCCTGAATTCTCTATGAGATTTCCCAATTATCTTCCTGTGGAAAAGTGTGTTTGTGTGTGTGGGGGGGTTACCTCTTGTTACAGTATAGGACCTATGATGGAGTGATTAGGCTCCTGAGGCCGATAATACAGTTGAGAGATAGGAGGATGCTCTGCTTATTCAGTGCTCTGCTGATTTGTGCAGAATATGTTTACATTGGATGCTGAACCTTTCTCTGTTGCTTTGTCTAGAATGTTCTGGCTTTTGATTTGATACATGAACAGCTGACAGTTAGAATGCATTATTGTGTTTACATTTGCAGCTCAATAAGTTTAACCCTATGGGAGACACTCTGGCTTCTGGAATGGGTAAGTTATTAGTTAAAATATGACCGTATTGTAACAGTAGTCGTTTTGCTTGCATATTTATATGTATAGAACAAAAGGATTGGTAAAGGCTTTAACAGCAAAAATCCAGGCATGAGTGGCCCTGCTTTACCTCACCAGTCTGTTACTCCAGCCATTTTCCTGACTTTAATATCAGAAGTGAGTAAGAAAGAAGTGCCTGGAGACAGACAGACAGACAGACAGACAGACAGACAGACAGACAGACAGACAGAAGTGTCTGGAGATAAGGCATGGGACTGGGAGTGCATTCAAGATTGCTTCCTGTTGGATTATAAGAACACAGATGGCTACTTTATCTTGAGTCAGACCATTGGTCTAACTGGCCCAATACTTTCAACATTGACTTGTGACTCAGGCAAAATTGTTTCCTAGCCTTATTTGAAGATTCCAGGGATTGAACCTGAGAACTTTTGCATGCAAAAAGCATGTGCTGTACCTCTGAGCTATGGTCCCTCCCCATCCCTTCTCTTACTGTCAGCAACTCACATTCCTGCTTCAAATGTGAATGAGACAAACATGTAAAAAGAGAAAACTTGTCTATCAGTTATACCTACTTGATAACTTTGTTCTTAAGTTGGATGTTGGGTTGCAACACTCTGCCTTTGAAAGCAGGGAATGCTGCCACCTGTTGGCCTTTGAAGCAGTGATGGTGAAGAGGTAAGTACCAGAATAAATAAATCTTGGGAGTTTAAACACCTGGCCAGTTCACATATCATGACAACACACTTTGCAAATAATCTATGCAGGTGTTCATAAAATAAGCTGTGGTGTACTGGACAAACACTTGGACTCACCGTGGGTTGTCCTCACTCCTTTTTCCCTGGTCCTTCTACAGGTATCTCAGGGGACTCCATGGCAGGACTTGTCTTGCCTGCCTTCCTGAGTATGATCACAAGCCCTGTTGTGCCTCATGCAGCTGCCCCTCACTTTACCTTTTATTTCTTTTTGGAGATCACATTTTATAGTCTTTCTGTTGAATGCTAGTGACGGCCCCTTCAAAGTGCTCAAGCAGCACATTGGAGGAGTTGTCAATGGTTTGTCACTGTTTTCTAAAAACAAATTTTAGTGCAATAAATTTGCTCAACACTTTTCTTACTTTTTCAAAATCAGCTGGACTTGAGGAAGGGCATGCTGTGAATAATCTGATTCCATTTAAAACAGTGTGTTTTTGCTTGTTTGGACAGGGCTATTCATTTTTTTTAACAGGGATATATGCAGGCCTGTGTAATCAACATGTGTAGAACCCCTTTCAAAAGGAACCAGAGTTTTGACAACTGTCTGTGAAACCTCTGTGATCCTGTAAAAGGGGTGGCTCATACTGTTCTACTTTCCTGAGCACATAGAATCTCAGGATATGATGTAAAAGTGTGAGGCAGCTGACAAGATTCATGTCTAACTATCCCATCCCCACCAAGGATCTTGTCACAAAGGGGGTGATCTACCAGTTACTCCCTTTCATGAGAAAAGATCACTCATAACTTTGTTCATAACTTGTTCATGAGCAAGAACCACTTTTTCTTGGCAGCTCATGTTTTGACAACTGTGAGGAGAAAGCAAAGTGAAAAATAGAGGGTTTTGCAGCCTTTCTAGCTCAATGCTCATGGTGGGTGCCTGCTGCATTTTGATAGCAGACGTTATAGGACATTGTCCAGTAAGGCCTACTGTTTTGGACCTGTGCAAGTGTGACCAAATTTAGTAATAAAATAATTCACATATTTTGCATTTTTATGTATATATTTATTTTAAAGGGAAGACAAATCAGTGACAGACACACTAAAGTGCTTCTTGGGCACTTTGAAGCTTGACACTAGTGTCAGCAGCTGTCAACTCAGATTGTGAGAAGTAATCTCCAAGAAAAAAAGGGGGAACATGATGTGCACAAAAGGACTTGTGGTCACTGTGGGGGGGCACCAAGTCAGTGGTGGTCATCTCACTGTATAAATTGGGAGTTACTGGGGCAGCTGGCACTGGCAGTAGCCTGGATTAGGCCAGCTTGCTACCCATTTCCTGCAACACCACAACCTGAACCCAACAGCCCTAGAATGAAACATAGGTTATTAGCTTGGCTGCTTGCTCATGAACAAGCCACTCTGTGGGAAGAAGTCCATAACAGACAACTCACTGTGGCTTGTCACTTGCAATTGACTGTTGTGTCATGCAGACCCATTACAAATGTCTCTCTTAAGATTTACGAGTTAAATTAGTACATGGGAGAGTATGTATTTTAGTAGAATCAGTAAGATACTAGTTGTGTTCATTACATTGTTCCATGGAGTATTCACAGAATCAAAAAACTCTCAGCCCAACCTACCAGTGTGGTGTAGTGGTTAAGAGCATGGGACTGGGACTCAGACGATCTGAGTTCTAGTCCATGCTCAGTCATGGAGCCAACTGGGTGACATTGGGCCAGTCACAGACTCTCAGCACAACCTACCTCACAGGGTTGTTGTTGTGGGGATAAGATGGAGGAGGAAAATGATGTAAGCTGCCTTGAGCCCTTTGTAGGAAAAAGGCAGGGTATCAATCAATCAATCAATAAAAAACTTGTGCTGACTCCCACAGCTGTACTAGGTAAAGGTCACATCTTAAAAGGTCCTTCCTCATTTGTAGGGAAATTAGCAGCATATCTTTAAAATATAAGCTACATTGTGGATGTCAGGGCATGGCCAAAACAATAACAGCAAATACATGATAGAATAACACATATTAAATAATATAAAACTTTCAGACATGGCTATATTGGTTAACAGTACAGTTTTTTCTATTGGGCAAGGTGAATTACATCACTGAATTGTTAACTGCTACTTGAAATTCTGTTCCTATAATGAGACTTCATAGGCTTGTTATCACATGCCAATTGTTCCATTAAACCCTAATGGCTGGAAAGTAACTAGGTCTGGTGAATGACGTCTGAGGACTTGGCACATATCCCTTTATTATACAGTACAGCATTGAAAGCAGAATTCCTAAAATTATGACTGTTTTCCTGACAGGTTTTAATATTCTGATCTGGAATCGGGAGGAGATGATAACCAAGAAGCAGGAACATCTTCTGCAAGCTATGACAGAGCAGGGAATTGGATCCAGGAACATAACTCGACAGGAAGAACAGCAGCAGAGGCAGTCAAGCACAGGAAAAAGCAAACTCAAAAGTAAACTGTTCAGGCTTGAATTAGAAGACATTGAACCAAGTGGCCAAGAACGCAAGTTACAAGAAAAGAAGAAAGGGTCCAGATGACTGATAAGGCAAGCTGCTTTGTAGCATTAGTTTAAAGCAAAGTCTAAGTCTGGCATTCTGAGCAGCAGCAGTTTCAAAGGTGAAAAGTCCTGTATCCTAATCTTATTTATCTGGGTCATAGAAGTTACGTTGGAAAAGGACAAGGTATCCTTTACTAAGGAAAAAGAATGGGTATATCTTACATGCATTCAGTTGGACTGAAAAGAGCACCTTGGCTGTACATTGCTGGATGGTATGGTCCAGTGACCTGGGGTATGCTGACAGTCCGGACTGTATTTTCAGGACTGACTTTTTTCTTTTTCATGTATTGAGCACCTGAGTTTGTTCTCAAGCGCTGGACCCCTGAATATGTACATTCGCTCATAAAGATGAATATTTTTCCTCACTGTTTCTTTCTCAGTTGCCTAATTTGAAGCAACTGTTACCTGGGTGGCATTTGCGTTTGCTTGAAAATCAGATATTTCAAAACTTCCTGGGTCTAGATGTAGAAGTACAGAAGCTTCTTGAAGTGGCTTACAGTTACAGCTAGTTGTTTTAAGGGTTTTGTACTGTAGCAGATACTATTGTGGCTTTATTTTTCTGGTTTTTGTTCAGTTCTTGTTCATAAAAGATGTTCAATAAAGTTTTGTATGGGACAGTTTTTGTTGTACCAGAGAGGATAAATTGCTTTTTAACAAGGAAAAAGAAAAAAAGGAAACAATTACATTAGTATATGACAAAATATACTACTACTACTACTTTATACCATGCATAGATCTCAGCAAAGGCACCCCAAATATCTGTATATTTATCTGTTTGCAGATTATACCTTAAGGTCTTCTTTTTCTTTCTTTTGTATTGTGCAGTTTCTTCACAGTGTGGAAGTGGAGAAATATGGCTTTTTTGAAGTAGGTGGCTATTTGCAAAATCAATAATAGCACCAGTAGGAAGGACACATACAAGAGTTCCTCATCTTAACAGCTTGGTTGAAGTCCTGCTTACCCATCTATTTTCACCACATGCTTAAGCTTGATACTTTTTTTTAAAGAAGGACTTCCAAAATGTTCAACCCTACACAATATATAAAGTAATTGTGTAACTATGAAGAACAGACAGAGCCTTCCATAGGTTTTAAAAGTGTGCCAATAAATATATGAATTATTTACAGAGGAAGGTATCCCCAAATAGGTTGTGCTTCCACTTGCTCCAGCAGGCAAGACTTGTGTACTATCCTGTAATGGGGAGGAACCCTCCCATTTACATTCCTGTCTAGTACCAAGGAAGAGGACAAAAGTGGAGCTTCACCTTATTTTTTATTTCTTAACTTTCAGAAAAAGCCACATTAAAACAGAGTCTAAGGAGATTCAGAGCAGACTGTGGGCATCTGTCCCCATCAGAACAGGAAAGAACAAACCAGCATAATCACTGGAGTCCCTTTCTGAGGGAGGCTGAACAGTTGGCAAGTGAGCTTATAGTTTCCAGAGGCCCAGTGCCATGAAGCAAAGTCCACTCATAATGCTCAGACATGTGATCAGTTTCTCATTATTTAGGGACCTAACCAGTTCCCAGGGGACTTGCCCATGCAACAGTGAACCTGAACATAGCATGGGATCATGACAGGAAGGTGCAAGTCTATCCTTTCCAGGGATTAAAAAGCACCAGAGGCTGAGGTAGGAAAGGTGTATATGGAAGGGCCATCCTGGGGAAAACCCTGCATTTTGATTTTTTAGTTGTTAGATACACCAGATTGTGATCCTCATGAAGGTACTAGAGCAGTACCTGGCATTCCTTAGACATGATCTATGAAAAGGCAAGAAGCACCAGCAGCAAAGCATATAAAACCCCAGATTCAAGTTTTACAGTCAAACATATGGGGAATCTCTCCCTTTCACCAATTAATTCACCTAGAGTGGTTATACTAAGTTAGGGATTTACAAGAATCCTCCTGCACAAACTTATAAACCAATCCAAGATAATTCCATGTTGGTACATCTCAATGCAGCTATACCTTCAAACATCAAGCAATTAACTGCATCAGACAGACCTCTGTCCTCAGAAACAGAAAGAGCAGCAAAGCCTCCGGTGAGGAATGGAAGGAGTTCCAATACTTTATTTCTGTGACTGTTATTACTATTAGTTAGGCATGCACACTCACATCCAGCTATGAAACCTGTACAGAGAAAAAAAGGGGCAGAAGTCCAGTCCCACCTTAATTTTTAATGAAAAACACCTAAGAAAGTGATCCAAGTGAATTACAGAAACATCATTCAAAGATTCAAAAACAGTAGAAATCTATTTTGCCAGTGTGTACCAAAGCAGACAACTGTCCTTCATTTTGCTACCAACCCTGCAGGAAATTAACATGTTGCAGTTGATCTATTTGCCATAGTTACTCTTCTGGGTTTTCACTGGCTCTGTGCTTGCATCCTGTCCTGCAGGAGCCACATCATGGTGATCAGTAAAGGAAAAAATGTGGACAGCTTCAAGCTGAGTTTGCCAATCTTTTGGTAGAACCATATTGTGTATTGTACTTGGTGAAATGTAAATTATCTGGTGAGGACTCAGAGCACTTTTGAATCTCTCATCAGATGCTGTAGTGCAGAAAGTACAACAGTATCAACAAATGCTACAGTGGGCGGGGATAATGTAGTGAGGGACAAGATGCCTGTCCAAATTATACTGAGCTTGTATTGAAGCCAGTGTGTGTGTGCAGCTCACACATGATGGTGCCAAATGAAGCCCCCAGCTCCCTGATGCTCCCAGATCCATAGAGTGAGGGGAGGGAGAGGGCAGTATGTTTCAGTGCCATTTTGATATTTCTTTTTCCTTAATGCTTTTCCATTAACAAGCCAATTCCTCCTCTCCCAGTCCACAGATAGCTTGCTTCCCTCTTTCTTGTTTCAAGTGAAAATGGAGCAAACTAAATGTCTTACTGAGCATCTCTTATCCTTTTTAAGAAGTCTCTTTTATTTATTTTTAAGAATATGCCTAATGCAAGTGAAAGAAGTAAAGTGGGAAATACAGAGTGGATTTCTTTTAAAGATGGGGAGATTGTGTTCTCTGGATTCTGTCCTAGTGCTGAAAACTAATTTGTGGGCTGAACACTGAGTGAGGGCAAAAATCAAACTTGCCTGTGCCTGGGGGGCCATGAGGGTGGAGGCAGAGATGGAGGAGAGCTACAGAAAAATTTTTTACCAGGAGTTCCTACTTTGAGGACTTCCTTTAGGTGAAGGGAGATATTAGAACAGCTTTTTAGTAGAGAGAGCCTGTTTGTTGATAGGAGAATATGCTGGATCTCAGGACAATTATGCCATAGTTCTGTAAGCCTGAATTTGTCTTTAAGTTTGTGGAGAGGTTGGATAAGCTGTTGTTTAGGGGTGAAAGACACACCCAGGACTGTTATGGGACTGAAGACTGGACAAGGCACTATTTTCTCTGTGGTGAGGGCCAGAACTGTTTTTTATCCAAGAAATACGGATATCCTTTGCATACCTTTGAACTTCTTCCCTGGTTAGAATAGATGTATGTATACCAAATACAACATGTGAAAGCACACACAACACTTTTCCTCCGCATACATGCATAAGAAAAATATGTATGTGGAATTTAGTTCTTAGCTGTATAGAATGTCTTCTGAACTAAATATAAGGTACACATACTGGGAAGTTTGGATTGTCATGTTGAGGCTACAGCTGTATGATCCTCTAGAATAATTTAACTCATAACTTCTGTTCTTTTGTTTAGAATGACAACAGTTCCTGGACAGTGCCCATACACTTTTTCTTTTGCAACCATACAAGTTTAAAAGTTGACTTTCTTTAAAGTAGCATTTTCTTTATGAATCTCTGCTGGTCCAGAATATTGTACATGATGCATCACAGAGTAAGTAATGAATGGCTCTGAAAAATCACTACCTAGATCACAGCTGAGACACACATCAAAATTCCACAGTAAAAAGCTGTAAGGGCCCTCTTGTCTACTAAAAATAAGGCTGCACTGCTTTCTAAGACTATATTCAGATGAGGTGTTGAAAATGGAGGAAAATGTACTATATTCCAATATTATGGAGTTTTTGTAGCCAGTAAGAAATGGAAAGTGGAATAATACATAGCAACTAATTTTTCCCTTGTAATAGATGGGTAGACAGTGTGAACTTTTGGTCCAGTATCCATCTTCTTGCTCTATAAGGATCTTTGCCAAGAGCAGAGTTCTTCACAGCACAATCCTATGCCCATTTAATTGAATGCAAAATACTTAACAGCATAACCATCTGCATATTTACAACCCTAAGTCCCATTGTGTTAAATTGGGCTTAATCCTTAGTAGGTGTGTTAGGATTCCAGCCTGAGAGGAATACGTTTTCCCCAGTGGAATTGGATATGCCAGTTTTTGTTGATTCAGAATTAGGTCTCTTGTAGTTAGGAAGAGAAGTACCAGTGGCAACTACTCAGACTTGAGGTGCAGCAGACTTCAATTGGAAAGCATATCCTTTCTGAACTAGTGGTGGAGACATCACAAAAGCTCTGTTATCAAATCTGGGCTTTTTGGTTTAGCAATCGAGATAAACCATTAAGACACTTAGTCACTGAAAGAAGCCCCTCTTGTCTCTGTAGTCAGCATTGCTTCCTCTTGCTGCCTCAGGAGGGGCTGGAGCAATTGTCAAGGCTGTTCCTCTACTTCACTGGTAACGTGCCGGTAGCCAAGAGGCCGAGACTTGACGCGGAAGAGTATTGTCAGGATCAGAACAATGAGTAGGAAGAGAATGGATCCACAGACAGCCAAAACCACAATAACTTCTGCAAACAGCAAATGGAATTAGAACACTGATAATGAAATTTCAAGACACACATATCTACCTACAGTTCATCTACCAGAACAATCTCAGCTCACCTGTGTCTTTTGCAGGATTTGCTATCTGACATTCCTGTTTCCAATTCTGTGCAATAACTGGTTCTGTAAGTTGCAGGAATTTCGGCAGAGGGCAACGCTGTTCACAGCCAGGCAGTTCCAATTGGTATGGCTCCTTCCCACTCTCATTCCGAAAGAACATCTCCACTGAATAGTTACTAGGAACAAAACAAAGGATAAGTGGAATTGTGCTACTGATGATTTGTCAGGTGTTTACATTGGAAGTTACTTCCCTATCCCTCTAAAGGTACAATTACAGGTATAATAAGTTGTATCAGACTATAAGTTGTCATTTCAAGCCTGTTAACAGGAATAGCTATCCCCACTTCTGTTAAGTATCCCCTTGTTCACAACTGTATCAATGTACTCTTGAAGCTCCTGCCTGTAATTATCTCATATACACATCAGAAGAAATTGGAACTGTAGAAAGTAAGGCTTTACTAATGCTGATGTAATTAATGTTGATATGATAGCTGATGTGGTGACCAGACTGTTGGACTGGGGACTTGGGAGATTCAGGTTCTAGTCCCCACTTGACCATGAAGCTCCCTCGATGACTTTGGACCAGTCATTCAACTCTCAGCCTAGCTTACCTCACAGGGTTGTTGTGAGGATAAGAATGGCGCTATGTTAGCCACCGTGAGTTCCTCAGAAGAAGAAAAAAAGGCAGGGTATCACTGTAATGTAGTAACAACAGTAATAGTAATTCCTTTAGCACAGAACAAGGAAAACCAAGTACTGTTTCTTCTGAAGATTGCAACCTTTATTTTTACCTCATTTCATCTCCCGTGAATATGTGGACAAACATTAAAGGCATGGCAATTTGCCTTTGACTTCTTATGAAGATACTCCCTTGATTGATAGCAACAACTAATTCCTCACCCATCATCCTCCTGGTACAGCTCAAATATATGACAAGAGGCATATGGTGCTTGTTTCCCATTGAAAACATCCAGAGCCATCTGCAGTGCCACAAGAGTGGTGTCATGCTGGAAGAGAGAAAAAAGACTTGAAAAAGACCTTCCCTTTATAGGTATGGTAGAATACTTGAAGCCACATTTCAGCCTGCAAGAGACAGGCAGAGGCTCCTGAGGTACTTGTAAAATAAGAAAAGGCTCCAGAACCATGGTAGAGCAGGTGGCACACCATTTCTGCAGTGAAAAGAAATGAACTGAAAGAAGCATTTGGTGCTGTGCTATAGAAAGACAGTCTATAAGTGGCAGAACTTGTGGATAATTTGCTCCCAATCTGTAGATGCAGAAATCCTATCTACTCACAAAGAGCACAGAAAGGCCATACTAGTTAACTGCCAAGGTATAAAAATTCTGACATGTTTTCTGTACAGGATTGATTGGTGACCATGTGGGGGGCTGTTTACATGCATTTAATTTTCTTCTGGGGAATGTGCGAAGTCAGGACAGGAAAGGCAGGTAAGATTAGGAAAGAGACAGTGCATACAGATTCCGCAAGCAAACTTACTGCTGAGTACATAAACATTTTAAAGTGGTTGGGTGCAGACACATTTGTTGCTAGCATGAGATTTTTCCTTATTTGAGAAAGAAGGACCCCTGGAGAAAGAGAACAGACAATTATATTCAATTTCTTGATCAACAAGCAAATATTCCCCTGCTATACTTCAAACTGCTTTTCTTACTCCTTCACTTACCACCCTGCAGACGAGCTTTCTCCACCCGTCTGTGAATCCCAAAAAGAAAAGAAAAGCTGAAATCTTTTAGCTGCTTCAGCTGTTTCATCACGTTAGGAGTTACCCAAGCTGGAAGATGCATTTCGTGTGTTTTCTGGAAAGACAACACAAGGTCATTGAGATACATAGCTGAGACAAAAATCATTAAAATACATACCACTCTGTGGAACCATACCACATTTAGTTCAGAAACTGTCATGAGCTTGCTCTGTTGTCCAGGATAAATATTTACCTACAAGCTTTAATTTCTAAAGCAGGACTACATCTGCATTTATAAAGCTATGTTGTTAGCAAACACCTCCAATCTAGTGCCCCTGAGATGTTTTAGGTCAAAATTCCATCAACTTCGGTCAGCATGGCTAATGATCAGGGGTGATGGAGACTAATCCACAACATTCAAAAGAGATCAGAATGGGGAAGCTGCTGTTAAGAAAGTATAATTTCAAATTCTTGAGGTTGGGTCATGGAAAGGAATGGAAGAACTGCACTAGTAAATAGTGAGAGCATCTAACATCCTTCGTATAGCACACTCTCCAAGTTTCCCATTGCAAGATGCAAATTAATTCAATTATCCAAAAGGAATAATGTGGAGGAATACTTTGTGGGCATGTCAGGAGCAGAGCTGGCTGGAGTCAGGGGTCAGACTAGATGGCCTGGGAAACCCCTTCTGACTTGCTCTGTTTCTATGTTCTGTTTGTATAAAATGGATTTTCAGGAAAGAAAATATCTGCCTGAAGTGACACTGATGATGAAAAGTCTAACTTTGTTCATACTTCTTTCCCAATTTGGCATGCAAAGTATCTTTGTTTTGTCATTCTTGAAATTATAACAGCAGAAAGACATCTCAAGTCTACTCTGCTTTTTTCCAATCATTTTTTTTTCTTTTAAACTATCAAAAGGTAATTTAGAAAAGCCCACTTTCCAGGATATCAATCAGTTAGACTCTAGCAGTCTGTAAAATTATTAAAGGTGTATAACTGTTCTTGCAGCATCCTGTCTGGGGAATGCTAAGAAGTGTAAAGTATTCTGTGTAAACATGAACAGAATGCATCCTAGGATTGTCTTGCTAATTTCTTAAATCTTGGTTGGAAAAAATGCAGTTTGAAACTACTGGCTGATTTGAGCCGAAAGCATAGGTCTGATGTCTCAGCAACAGAAAAACTAGTTTATTTAGCATGATTTCCTTTTTGGGTCACATCTGACAAAAGAAGGAATTTAAGGATCAATTATTTGTGGAACTACTGCATGGTATTAATTTACTCTGCAAAGTATGTCCTGGAACTCTGCTATTACCTAGGAATTTTTGCTGACAATTTCTGGAACCCAAACTGTGGACAATCTAAGCAGAATTATGAGCAAGCCAGAATTACATACTTCCATATAAAACACCTAAAAGCAAGATGCAATATCACAAATTCTTTGAAGGGTATTACAGATCTGATTAGCATTATGCTTCAGTATAATGATGTTTCTGTTGTACTGAACATGTAGAAAACTAGAGTTCTAACCATCCTGCTGGGAGTGGCATCCACAGAAATGCAGTAAACTGCAACCTTTAAAAGCGATAGGAAGATGTCAACAAATAAATGCAACAGAGAAGAAAAGTGCGGAAAACAGACTATATTGGCCAGCAACCACCTTCTAGATTACTTAATATGAAAAAAGAAAAATGTCTGTCATTATGATAACTGTATTGTGTCTGGAGGAAATGTTTTTATATTGCAGAGACCTCTTTTGATGGATGGGTTTAATGCATCTTTGTGCAATCTGCTCACTGGCACAAATTTACTACATGTGGAATCCCGGTTATTAAGGTGGCAGGATGTGAAGGGCAATATTTGTTCTTACTGGAATAGCATCCCTATGTTTACCTCATAGAAATGGAAACCTGTCACTTATCTGGGAAAAAGTAAAACAGTAGTTAGGGAACCTAGTCATCACAATACTGAGAATTCAGTCCAGAATTCCTATCTGCACAGCCTCATGCTGGATTCCAGAGCTCTAGAATATTTAGAATTTGATAACTATAGAGCTACAGGCATTGATCCTAAGTATCCATTCCATGAATATATGAGCTCTTTCTGTTTGTAGAAGGGCTTTTGATCTCCACTAGGGAGATTACTTCTGATGGAAGGGGAAAGGTGATTCTTGCAGGTTTCCATCTATACTTTCATCCCACATTCTTCAGCAGACTTTCAGAGGGCTGCCATGGAGGAGGAAAGTTGCCTTCTCCTTGCTTATACTGGTGGGAGTGTCACATGACTAGAGCACCACTTAGATGAATGCAGTAGCCAAATCACTGATTCCATTCCTTAGGTTAAAGTTGTATACACTGTATAAAATAGTGGAACTTTAGAACAATACCAAAAAGCACATTAGCTCATGACAAGCTTTAACCCTTCTCACCAGCATACAATACTCTGTAGCTCTGTTCCAGATTAGTGGTGGACAAACCAAAGAGCTCCATGGTGCCCTTCCTGATTCCTGTTGCAGCTCCACCACAACTCATTTGCCCCACAAAAAAAACTTTTTGTTTTTTTATATTCAGAAAAAATTAAGCCCATAGTACCTACAGAGTACCAAAAAGGTAGCATTTAGCACAAAACCAAGTTAAATATAGCCACTGTGGCTTTACAGTGTAGTCTGCTACCAAAATGCTGCTGGGACCTCTATAATTTGCTACCCCTGCTTTACAGCAAGAATACAGGCAGCTTCAGATACTGCTGTGGTAAATAGTTTGGTGAATACATGACTGATGAATACAATGGCAGACAACTCACCTCACAGAAAAGTGTGTCATATATACTCCAAACAGACTCAAGGGAAACATCCTGGACTCCTGTCATATTTGCCACCATCTCTAGGAATTCCTGCAGAAGCAAAGAATATATCCAGCTCTTCTTTCTATGACCCAAGGATTATACATAGACATAGAATGATTCATAAAACTCAGTATACCATATTTTGGATGGTTCTATTTCGATATTCTTCTGTCTGTCGAGTCTCATTTTGCAGCTGCTCATACCGGGGACAGGGAGATAATGGAAACTTCAGGAGCTAGATAGAGACAAAATAGTTCAGCTAACTAAACAAATCATTTGAGAGTGGATCCCTCCTTATGATCAATCCTGACTGTAAGGCATCTGCTTATTTATGAGATTCTTGGCCTGAACAATTATTTCTGATGAAGGATATATCCTCCAGACAGGTGAAATGGGCCCCCAAAAATGCAGTTTGTGTAAAGCAAGGAAATTTAAGAGTTAGGGTGACGAAGAATGGTAAAGCATAGGTTGCTAAAACTAAGAATGAGGAGAAAATTTATTTGATGCAAACAGGTCCAACCTATTAGTATTTATTTGTGAAAGTGACTTACCTGCTCCACAGAGTCAGGTACTGTGTGGACAGGGATGGGTTGCCAAGAAACATTGGGGTTGAACACCTGCTGCCCTTCTGGGGGGTAAAGTCCTGCCAGATTGGCTTCAGCACTCATCAGGGTTCGATCAAAATCTGTGCTGCGTATGAAGATCTGCCAGAGAACCAGGTGAGACAGTATTTTTCATTTGCGTTCCTAATCTCAGAGCTGTGCAGGAGCAAGAAAAAGAAAATTCTGCTCTCCTGAGTTGATTTACCCACACTCTGGACAAGACACACACAGTGACTCATCCACAGTCATCTGATGCTAACAAGTATGAAATGAAGGAGTTTAATATGACAGTGTAGGAGAAAACAGAAAAATGAGAACTTGGATTTTAAATTTAAGGAAGTGGGTGAGGTAAAACAACAACAAGTATTTAGATAAAGCTTTAAAATGGCACTGGAAATCTGTTGAAAATACATGGTCAGCTCATGATGGAAGCAGAGTGAGAAATTTATTTATTTATTTTTTATTTATTTTTATTTATATCCTGCCTTTTTCCTACAAAGGGCTCAAGGCAGCTTACATCATCCATCTTATCCCCACAACAGCAACCCTGTGAGGTAGGTTGGGCTGAGAGTCTGTGACTGGCCCAAAGTCACCCAGTTGGCTCCATGGCCGAGCGGGGACTAGAACCCAGATCGTCTGAGTCCCAGTCCCATGCTCTTAACCACTACACCAAATCTGTCTTTTTGGCTCACAATGGCTTTTCTCCCCTTTACCATTTTTTCTTGGGGTAGGAATGGGAATTGCGAAGAGTAATCTCTTAACTAGCAGCCAGTGATAGTCTCTCCAAAGAGCCCAAACCGCACATCGGAGGGGCTCTCACTAGTTGGACACCCCCTTTTTTAATAGCTGTGCTCAAAATGTGTGTCATTATTTTGATTTTTTCAAAATTTTCTAGTTGGACTTATACAAATGCGGAGGCACGCACTTCCATGGATCGAAAATAATCCATGCCTGGGCAATGTCCTCAAGATGGGAGTACCTGCTATCAAAATGTAGCAGGCACCAATTCTGCACACTGACCAAAGAGACTCCAAGTAGACTGTTTTATTTTACTTTGTTTTCTCTTGGCAGCTGTCAAAAAAGCTTGCAAAGCATCTGCAATTGTCCCCGGTCTCCCTTCTTCAGTTGCTGTTGCTTGAATCAATCTCCTTCAATTAGCCAGCAACAACTTTAGTGTAGTGAAAAAACAAAGACTTGGCAATTAAGAACTTCTCTTTTCTTTAGTGTTACATATAAGTTATATGCAACATGTTTTGACTCTAGGGTGTTACAGTAGGAATAGCAACGATAAAAGAAGCAAGACTCCCACTCTGAATTCAGCCTGGGCTAAGCCACTACTCCAGTCTGTGTGGAATGAATCATAATCAGGCTGGGTTTGAGATGAGCTTTATTCTAACATTCATGTCTCTATTTCAGAGCTGCTTAACACATTGGCCTGGTTTTGATGTGACACCAGTCCAGTTTTGCATAATGAGAACAAGCTGCAAAAAAACTTTCAGTTTACATGCTCTTTATGATCTGGCATAGCTGTGAGAAGTCTGGAAACCTTTGCTTCTGTACAGATTAACTGCAGCTTGTTTTATTGCTGAAACCCAACAAACAGGTTTATTTTAACCAGGGTTTATTTGAACAACCATGTATTCTGAAGCTGGATTGTTTAGACAAACCATTGTTTACATTAACCAGAATGTACATTCAGATTATGAACTAAATTAGTGGTAGTGATCCTTTCTCATCTTGAGGGGCCACACTGGTTCTGGGAAAACAGATCAGACACCATCCTCTCTGCTGACATATCTTCCCCAGTATGTTTGCCCTCACTCTATTCACACCCACATATTCACACCTCACATATTCACCCGCATTCTCTTTCTCTTTCACACACATACAAATAACTTCCTTCCTTCAGGGGCTGTCTGTTTCTTTTCCATACTGCATGATGAGAAAGGGAGTGCTCTTTGTACCAGTAGGGAAAAGTTCTTATCTTTCATTGGCAGCTGTTCCAATGTAAGAGCTTTCTCTTGCCTCACCAGAGGCTGATGGGCTAGATAGGAAACCTCATGTGGGTTACATCTAGACTGCAGACTGGCAGTTCACCATGCCTGCATTAAATTGTTGTTAATCTAAATGAGAAACAAAAGTTCCTACTTTTTTCAGTGAAATTAGTTTGACCATAGGAGCAAAAGACAGATCTCTCCTTCTGCTTCCACCATGAGCTGACCATGTATTGTCAACAGATTTAGTGAAACATGTGGTAAGCAGATGTCTGGAAATCTCAGCTGATCAGATCCTAGAACTGTATTTTCAGACAGACACATTCCTTTCAAATGTTATGAGGGGACAGACCATTTTAAGATATACTAAGAGAAGAAGAAAATCAACAAGTGGTACTGCCAGCCTGGGCTGTAATATAATGCCATACTATGGAAACATGAACTAATAATACCTAATAACTTTAACAAAAATGGTAATTTAATTTGTAGCTGAAATGTAAAAAAGTACATACAAGTAACCTGAATAGGATGAGTACATTTATGTCATATGTACACACACACACTTCTGGTGTAACATAGGTGTGTTTCCAGTACAAGTAAAATTGAGCCACTTCCCATTTTCACATTGTCCTTTTATTTAAGTGCATGCAAATTTAAATCTGTCTACAGAGTGGCACTGAATGAGTTAAGGAAAAACATTAAGTAGAAGGCTAACAATCTAGCTGGACTGGTTTCTGATCATATAGCAAGTTAACATTCTCATGATAAATCTGTTTCACAGTTGAATAGAAACACAGCAACTGAGACCGTCAGGGTTCTATGTTATTTTTTCATTCAGCATAATTTTCATTATCTGCTTTCATCACTGAAAAAAGGGACAGTGGGAAACTACACTTGAGAAAGTGTGATTGTTCTTCAGGGAGGATTAGAGAGAGATGTTCAAACATGTCCGCCATTTTTCAAGTCACTGACTTGAAAGCAGAAAATTATCTGGTTTATATTCTAGTTGCAAGAACTGTGATTTTATTGTCTTAAATATGGTTTGTTTTGCTTGCTTGCATTAGCCTCATGTTACCAAACAATGTTCACTGGAGCCTAGGCACCACTGTTTTCTTCCCTTGACTTGCTTGTACATCATCCTCTTGCCCAATCTGTAACTATTTGTTTTTCCTCTGACATTTTAACTCAAATAAAGATTTGGCAGACAGTATTAACTGGATGTGATATTTGAAACAAAACCCTTTCATACTGTTACAACATCTTCCTCAGCATGAAGGCATACACTTACTAAAAAAATGAGAAAATGTACATTTGTATATAGGATAGAGAGAAAAAGATTATACCATGCTGCTAGTGCTAATGATTTAGGATGATGCACTAACCTCTTGTCTATTGTATGAGGCATTCAAGAATCCATTGTAACGCCTTCGAAGGACTTGGCCTAGTTCCCACTGTTGCTGCATCCCTTTCTACATATATGAACAGCAGTAAATTAATAAGACAAGCTATATTTGTCTCTCACAAAACAGCACATTGTTGAAAATAAGAACAGTTGCAACTTTAACTGCAGAAAATTTTAAAAAGCTTTGACACCACACCATTCCTCATCCCCCCATTTTGCTCTCCATTTTAAATTCAGTGTATATTTTTCTTTGGTAGTCAATTTAAAGCAGCACACAGTTATAATTTAAACAACCCAACCACTTTCTCTGCTGCTAAAATATGCTGCCATTTCCTGAGAAAGCAAACAGAAAAGTAGCCCAAAATTATCCCCCAAAAGCAAAACAAAATCTTCATGTGCTGTATGCCATTTTCAAAAATAACATGTTTTGACACTTTTTAAAGGTAGTAGTTCTGAATCTCTTTATTTCAAGTAAGCAGTCTGAGTCTCAAGCTCCCACAAGTACTTTCTCCTTGGGATACCCACCTGAGAAAGTTGTCCAAATCCCTGGGGCCAGGCACTTTCCTGATGGGGATCTTGAGGGTATGCCTTCACTGGGGAGCGATCTCCATGGCGATATAACTGAAAGAGCAGTTTGCTATCACAAAGGGGCCAACAAGTTCTGTATGGACCATTGTTGTGCATTTTGCTGCTTCCTAAATGGAATGGACCAGATATAACAGGAAATGGTACCTTTGTCCTGGGGCAAGGAGAGAATGCTGTCAGGATTTGACAGCATTTGTCATATGCACTAAAGGATTCAACACCTTTCCTACTATCTGGAAGGAATAGTCTCCATAAAAGCTTAAATATTGCAACGGACCTTTGGACCACAAAACCTTATGCTTTGATAAAGACAAGGTTTAGTCTTGTTATGCCAACACTCAGGGTTGTTCTTACTAAATGAACGCTTTAATGGTCAATATTTTGTGGACAAACTAAGAGGATCGCACCTGCTTTTAAATCATGAGATCCCTGCAACCTGCAGAGTTAAATGGCGTTCTAGCAGCACAAAAGCAGCAGCTGTTTTCTGCCAGATGAGACGCAACGTACCCCCTTGCCTAAAATGCACCTCATGATAGCTGAGGATGGCTAGACATTTTTCTTCCGTCTTTTTTGCATTTGGGGCTGGAAGCCACGTGACATCTCAGACCGAAGAACTGCCCCTCCCGGCAAACGTCTCTTCACCCCCCCCCCCGCCAATTTCCACCTCCCCACACTCTGTTGCTGCCTCCTCACCAAGGTAACAAAGCGGAGGGTTCTGTTCTGGGCGAGTGGCAGGGCGAGCTCGAAGGTCAGAGTCAGCAGCAGGGTAAAAAGGAGGTTTGCCCAGCTCCAGCGGTTCTTCTTACGCTCCATGGCTTTCCCTCTATCTATCGATGTTGCTTTTTCGACAAAAGTGCCCTGCAATCACTGAGCATGCTCAAACGATCGGAGCATGCTCAGTCTCACCATCTGAAGCTACTAATGTTTATTTTGCCGTTTCTTAGCTCGGTGTGGCTCGAGCGGGAATCATGAGCTGTGTAACGCAGTTAATGCTGTTTACCGGGAAGTAGCCTTTGCGAAAATATGGGGCAGTCCCGAAATTTTAAAGACTGACTAAAAGTGCGTCGAACTTGGAGATCTGATTGAGATCATTGCCCGGTAGGTGGCTGCATATCGTCCGTTGCCCTGCAACTACTTAAATAAAAGTTATCTATATTTCAGATCAGGAATCATAGAATCATAGATCGGGTCCAAGCCACTGCTCAGTGCACGACTCCAAGTTAAAGCATCCCGCTCATATGGCCAGTTGCATATGAATGTCTCTAGTGTGGAAGAGCCAACAACTTCCCTAGGAGATTGGTAACATCGTCCTACTGCTCTAACAGTCATAATTTTTTTCTGATAGCTAGCCGGAATCTGGCTTCCTGTAACTTGAGCCTGTAACTTGAGCACTCGAAGCGATAGGCCAGGTTATAAATGCATGTAATAAATAAATAAATAATACTCTTGCACTCTGGGATGATCGAGAAGAGATCCTGTCCTTCCTCTTTGTGACAACCTTTCAAGTACTTGTAGAGTACTATCATATCTTCCCCATCTTCTCTTCTTGAGGCTAAACATGTCCAGTTCTTTCAGTCTCTCCTCATAGGGCTTTATTTCCAGTCCCTGGATCATCCTTGTTGCCCTCCCTGAACCCTTTCCAGCTTGTCTGCATTTTTCTTAAACTGTGGTGCCCAGTACTGGACACAGTACCCCAAATGTGACCTGACCAGTGCTAAGTAAAGGGAATTGGTACTTCCCAAATTTGGAAGTGATACTTCTATTAATTCAGCCTAAAATTTGCCCTTTTTGTAACCATATCACATCACTGAATCATATTCAGCTTGTGATCTACAACAATTCCAGGATCCTTCTCACTTGCAGTATTGTTGAGCCAAGTATTCCCCATCTTGTATCAATGCATTTGCATTGTTTTTCCTAGGTGCCGAATATGGCATTTATCCCTATTGGATTTCATTCTGTTGTTTCCAACAGTGCTCCAACCTATAAAGATGACCTTGAATATTCTTTCTGTCTTCCAGGGTATTAGCAATCCTGTGCACTTTTGTGTCATCAGCAAATTTGATAACCATTCCCTGCACTTCCTCATCCAAATCATTAATCTAAATGTTGAAGAAAACTGGGCCCAGGACAGAACCATGCAGTGCCCCACTTGTTACTTCTCCCCAGTTTGAGAAGGTGCCCTTGATGAGCACTCTAAGTCCAATTCTGTAGCCAACTGTGGATCCACCTGACTGTTGTTCCTTCTAGTCCACTTGTAGCTAGTTGACTAAGGACATCATGGGGCACATTGTCAAAAGCTTGGCTGAAGTCAAGATATTCTATGTCCACAGCATTCCCACAGTCCATCAGGGAGGATGATATCTTAACAATATCAATACACTTGTGATATCTCTAGAGGAACAGAAACATTTTGATAGATCTTGGTTTTTTTAATTCCTTGCCCTTATCAATGTAGGGTGGGGAGCACTGCCATAGAAAGAATGTGCTATTTTTATCACCTCAAGGAATCATTTGTATGTCACCCCTGTGCCTTTGGCTGTTTTTTCTATATTCTCTGCAGCAACCACTGTCAGTTGTGAAGAACTCTGATAGGTTCTCTCCCTTCTGGATAAATGGGCAATAAAAGGACAAATGTGATTCAGTGTATGTAACTGTTAAGTGATGCATACTGGGGCAAAAATCCCAAATTCTCTTATGAGGTCTGAGCTGGCAGTGCAATGGATCATGTTTCGCCCTGTGGTGGATAGTTCAGTTGATGAAAAAATCAACCCACTATGCAGCAGCTTGTATCAAAGCCAAATCTCTTGTTTAGGAAAAGGGTTTAAAAATGAAGCTGCAAATACTATAATGGCTTTACACAAGTCTGTGGGGCAGCTGCAATTGGAATGCTGTGTGCAGCTGTAAATACAACAGAGGATACTGTGTGCAGCTGTGGACATTTCCAGAGAAGAAGGCTATCAGTGGCTTCTGGTCTTGATGGCAACATACCACATCCAGGATGAGAGACAGAATGGTCATCTCAGACTAGGTATTTACTGTGCATTTGCCATTCCCTACTCACAGTTGTTTACAGTTACTTTACATCATGACCTGTGTCTAACCCGTGCTTCTGGTGAGATTTTTGAACAGGGAAAATATGGCATTTAATTGTTAAAGAGAAAGCACATTCACCTTCTTGTATTTGTGGTATTCTGCTATTCCATAATAACACCTAGAAGTTAAATAATGGAAAAGTAGAAAAGGAAAATCTCTCTGTCTATTGCCTGGATCTCAGTCCTGCAATGAAAATGAAATCAGATGCAGAAAACTGATAGCCAATGAGAGCCTGGTGCAGGAAAACTCTATGCCTCTGAATATCAGCTGTTGGGAGCAGCTTTGAGGGTGGGAAGGCTTCTGAATCCATTATCTGCTTGTAGGTTCTCCATTAGACATGGTTAGTCACTGTGGGAAACAGGGCACTTGGCTTGTAGCCTTTGAGACTGTAATTTATTGTATTATACTGTAATTTACCTGTAACTAGTCTAACCATCTGAGGACATTGTCATAAAAGTGCCTAGCCTAAAACATCCCAACATTTCAGAATCCTGCCTTTTATCTGTGCATTTTAAATATATATATATATATATATATATATATATATATATATATATGCATGCATGCATGCATGCATGCATGCATGCCTGGGGCATAAAAGTTCCCCAGAATCACTATATGAATAATTGTATAATTTTATTCCCCAAAATAGGCCCAATAACAAAAGAACAATATAAGGATTAATACAGATCATCCTGGTCTCTTTCAAAAGCTCTGTTTCTTAGCCAAAACCTGCAGGACACAGAATTAAAATCCACTGAGGAAGAGCTTTGCTATGATTTTTTAACATTAGTAGGCCAAGCGGTGGTTATGCAGAGAAAAGCTCAATAGGCCAAGCACTGTTAAGTAGATTTTCTTGCTTTGCATAGCCTCAGGAAGGATTAAACCTGAAATTACCTGTACTTACTAAGAGGTGAAAGCTAATATTATGTTGATTGAAACCTTCTGCAGGAAAATTTGAACCAGAACATATCAGCTTTCATATGCAGCATTTTTCTTGATTGGGGTAAAAAAATGTTCCCAAATGTGGCTAATGCTACTTTTCTGAGACTGGAAATGGTGGTGCCAGGGACCTGCTGTTTCTGCCATCCCCTCAGGTTTTCTTCCTTTGTTTAAGCAGCATATCCAGCTAATAGTGTTGAATAGTAACATTTGGAAATAAAGCTTTAAATTAACCACAGATCTGCTCATATTCCTTTTTCTCATTGTTTTGATATGAGTGAAACCAAGAGAAAGGTAACATTAGAAGCATTAATTTAAAAAAGCCAAATTAAATAAATCACAAGTGCTCTTTGTGATCCTAGCTGAAGCTGTGACTGTGCCAGAAGCTTAGTCAGGAGAACCTTCTGACATCTTGCTGTGTGTGATTCTGTATTCTAGTGGGCTCCTCAGGGATGTCATTTAAGGAGGGCTTTAGAGATATCCTCCCTAACCCAGTATTTTAGATTATGTGGCTAGTTCATGCCCAGCCAGCATGATATTCTGACCAATTTTGGTGGGAGTGGGGAGAACTGAGCTCAAATCTCCACTGAGCCATGAGGATCACTGGGTGACCGTCTCTCAGCCCAAATTACCCTGCAGGGTTGTTGTGAGGCTATAATGTGGGAAGAGAATATTGTATGCCACTCAGAGCTCCTCAAAGAAAAGACAGGATACAAATACAATGCATTTTTCCACAAGTACCTATACTTCTTGTTAACATAGAGCACAATCCTTTGCATGTTTAGACAGCAAAAACTGTTCTTCAGCTCCCAGCCTTTCCCTAGCCAGCATCATTAGTTGAGATGTACTGGCAGTTTTAGGACTATATTTCTGCCTAAGATGTATAAGATCATGACCTTGGTGGCTCATGAGTATTACTTGACAGAAGTGGCTGAACAAAGAAGACTGAAATTTCAAACTGAGTACCAGGGAAGCCGAAAATACAATGAACTTTCCTAGGAATAATCAAAGAAAGATGAAGCATGTTTCAGATTTTATGTGAGGTTCAGCTGTCACCATCTTTCAGTTGTAACACTACTTTCCCGGCTGCTTCAATCTTTTCCCCTCATAATGTAGAAAATTAAATTGCTGTAAACCATCCAAAAAGCCATATGGCTAATGTGACAGTCTATAAAAGCTTGAAATTAATAATGAATAAATACAGTCTGTTAAGAACAAAAAGATGGAATAGCAATACAATGCCTTTTGATTTAGTAGCAATAAGAACATTCAAACTAGAAGGACCACAAAACTTATGAACCCTCCTACAACGTATAGGTTCAAACTCATCTCTACTAAACAGAATGTAAGAATGAATGGAAAAACCACCAACTGCCTTTTGAGAGCAAGAAGAAAATATCAGGATATACGCTGCCTTTAAAAATATAAACAAATACATTCAAATACTGCTATTTGTGTAGGTGGGGAGCAAGGAAAGTTTATACTGCACTTGGTATTCAATAAATACATTTACCCCTTCAGTTGCTACCATAAAAGTACAAATTTATATATGGTAATACAGAAAAAGTTCAAAACTCTCTGCACTCCCCAGCCAGCCATACTGGGAGTTGGGAATTGCAGGACTCTAAGCCATGGGTCCTCAAACTATGGCCCGCGGGCTGGATCTGGCCTGCCTTGCCCATTTATCAGCCCGCCATGCCCATTTGGACCTGTGCCCATGCGCACACCTGCCACCGCCCACCTCGCCCTGCACGCAGGGAGGCAGCGGTTTGCTCACTCGGAGAAAACGACCTCCAAGCGAGCAAGCTGCTGCCTCGTGCGCCCGCCTCCCCTCGCCCCCCCGCCTGCCCGCCCCACCTTGCCGTGTGCCCCTCCCCCACCTCCTCCGCGCACACGCCCACACACACTGCCCCTGCCCCCGCCCCCTTGCTGGCCCGTGTGCACTGCCAGCACCACCTTTCCGGCCCACACCCAGCACTGGCACCTTTCAACTGGCCCCCTGGTGAAAACGTTTGAGGACCCCTGCTCTAAGCATACATAAGTTTCTACACGAAATAAAG